AAGATTGAAAGTATTTTGTATTTTGTATTTCAAATCAAAAGATTGAAAGTATTTTATATTTTGTAATTCAAATACTAAGATTCCTAGTATTTTGTATTTTGTATTTTAAATACTTTAATGGTGTATTTTGCCCAGCCCTGTATATATTTATATTTTGTATTTTTATATATGATATAAGTCCCTGTCGATGTCGGAATATAATCAGAAAAAATACTGAGAGAATAAAAAACATAATTGCTGTATAATAATTAATATAATAATAATACTGTTTTTTTATTAAACATAATAATAACATTAAATATAAAAATACTGTAATATAATAACTATATAATTAAAAAATCTTTAAGCATTTAGAACATGAGGATCACATTTAACTTCTTTTTTTAAGCACTTTAACATATTATTACAATTTATGTTTTTGATATACACTTTTGTAGATATTAAGATAAAATCAAAAAAAATACTGAGAACGTAAATAATAGATCATAATAATAATAGATAATAATAACTGTATAATCAGGAAATATCATTGATTTTTAAGTATTCAGATTGCGCAAGAACGTACGTTCAACTTTTTTTTAAACAATTATACATCACAGTTATAGTACACATCATATTATCATCACAGTTTTAATATTCGGTATAAGCTTTTATAAATGTTGGGATAAAACATAATAGAATATAATAATAACTGTATAATTAGAAAACTATCGATCTTTAAGCATTCAAATCGCAATTATTTGTTCTCTTTTTTAGACCATTTGTACATATTATAAAAATAATGTTATACAGCTCGAAACAATTTACCTTTTTTTCTAAAAAATGAAATTTATGAAATTAAAAAATAAAATTATATTATTAAATGTACTCTTCCTTTTGAAGATAAAAATAATCCTTTTGAAGATAAAAAAAAAGAAAGAAAAAGAATGGAGTTAATACAATTTGTTACTAAAATCATGAGAACAATCGAAATTTTGTAGATAATAAATCAATGAATGTATATTTTTAATCTCTTTAAATATTTATACATATCTTTATAGTTTGTATTTTTATGTATGGTATGAATTCCTGTAGATGTCAGAATAATTAAATCAGAAAAAATACTGAAAAATTAAAAAATATAATTACTGTATAACAGCGTTAGATAGGTAATGTCTAGTTAAAAAGATAAAAGTTAAAAAGTTAAATAATTTTAACTTAACTTACAAGGGGAAAGCCAGGTCAGTATATTACGGATCCTGATCCCAATTTTTTTGGTAAAACTTATAAAGGCAAAATAAAGATTCGAGCGTTTGATTGAATGGGCCTTAGTTTTCAAATAAGAATTTTCGAAATATTGTTGGAATTTAAGTAAAGGGCACCGTCGCGCGCCGCCGCGCGCCTTATAAGCTTCCCCGATAAACTCTCTCAACCGGTCCGGCATAGCCCGGTGTATAAAGGACTTGCTTTCCGTCATTTCCAATGTTCAATCCCTAGATGCTGCAATTTTTTTTATTGTGTATTTTAATTTTTTTCATTTTTTATTACTGATATTGTAATGTACGACTTTTTTACATAAAATTTGTATTTTTTCCCAAGCATTATTATAACCGATGTTGAATGAAAGAAATATATCGCTTTTTATTATTAAATATTGAATATTATTA